TTGTGCACAGATGTGTGCTGTGTACAGGTGTGTGTTGTTCACAGGTGTGCTGTGCACAGGTGTGTGTTGTTCACAGGTTTGTGTGTGTGTACACAGATGTGTGTTTTGATCAGGTGTGTTGTGCGCAGGTGTGGGTTGTTTGCAGGTGTGCTGTGCGCAGGTGTGTATTGTGTGCAGGTGTGTTGTGCATAGGTCTGCGTTGTGAGCAGGTTGTTGTGCACAAGTGTGTGTTTGTGTTGTGTAAGGATGAGGAGGCTGCCTTTGCAAGTCTCACCTTGCCTCAGGTGCCTACCATGTGACTTGGCTCATCCCTTGTTTTCTGACTGTGCCCTTGGGCTTTTTAGTTTTCTTTCAGCCAGTGTTTCTAGGCATGCACCTCCTTGACTGGGGTATTCCACACCTCAGGAAACCTCCAGTCCTGCCTGCGTCCTGCCTGAACCAGGTGCCAGGTCAGTAGGTTCAGCTGTGATATTCGGCACTCAGTAAGTTCCTTAGCCCTTCAGCAGATAAGGTAGGAGCTGGGAGTCGGTTGTGGTGGTTGAAATGTCTCTTACAAAGCTAGAGGAGTTAGGGTACAATGGCGGCGAAGCAGGTTTTAGGTGCATGGGAAGCTTTAGCTGATATATAACAGGAAGTTTGACATGTTGGTGCCATCTGGGAATTGTCTTGCTGTCACATTTTTGAGGAATGGGCCTGTGGCCTGCAGACCCCAGAGCCCCAGTACTAGCTGCAGAGGGAAAGTAAGCACCCCTGTGTTTTAGAGCGCCCAAGGTGCAAGGAATTAAATGGGACACTCCAGGGCCGCTCAGAGAGGGATCGTTAATGTTTTCTTTCAACTGTGTGGTGCTGAGAGTGTCCCAGAGAACCCTGCTTTATTCTCTGTGTAGTCAGAGAATATGCTTAACTGTGTGCTAATTGCAGAAATACACAAGTACACAGCCTGACTTCGAAGGCTCGGCCATCTAACGAGGGTGGTAGCAGTGTCCCACCTTAAGCAACGCTGTCTCCAAGTCCTGGGCTGTGAAGTGCTGTGTGTCCTCCAAGCATAGGCTGCTGTGGAGGCTGATGGAAGGCTGTGTGCAGGGGAGAGGTAGGGAGGGGAGGCACTCCAGAGGAGGCAAGCCTAAGGGAAAGTGAATTTACTGAGAACTTACAGCAGTTGGAGGTGTGTGTGTGTGTGTGTGTGTGTGTGTGTGTGTGTGTGTGAGCTAGGGGGTAGAACTGGGAGGATGAAGGTGACATGTTCACAGGATGCAGGGATGCTGAGGCAATCAGTGACTATTGACAGCCGGGGGAGGAGCCTAATGATAGACAGCCTTGCAAACAGCCAAGTCTGACTTCAGAGTGATGGACAGACCAGAAGGCTATGTAAGAGTGGCATGTGGAAAGGAACCGAAGGATAGGGGCGTCCCAGCGCCCCCTCCTGTGTGTGTGTGTGTGTGTGTGTGTATGTGTGTGTGTGTCTCTGTGTGTGTGTCTGTGTGTCTGCCGAAGGATAGGGGAGTCCCAGCGCCCCCTCCTGTGTCTGTGTGTCTGTGTCTGTGTGTGTCTGTATGTGCACGTGTGTCTGTGTGTGAGTGTGTCTCTGTCGGTATGTGTGTGTATGTGTGTGTCTCTGTGTGTGTGTGTCTGTATGAGTGTGTGTGCATGTGTCTGTGTCTCTGTGTCTCTGTGTCTGTATGTGTGTGTGAGTGTGTGTGTATGTCTGTGTCTCTGTGTGTGTCTATGTGTGTGTCTGTGTGTGTGTGTGAGTGTGTGTGTGAGTGTGTCTCTGTGTCTGTGTCTGTATGTGTGTGTGTCTGTGTGTCTGTCTCTGTGTGTGTTGGGTGACAGCATACTGATACCCAAAGCTCAAGGGGACTTCTGAGCCTGCTCAGTTGGCATGGTGATAGATGCTGGATCTGCCTCTCAGGAGTCCACCAGTTACCGCGGGAACAGGGTTGTGATGCTGCTTACAGCCCCTTGCCCTGCCTTTTTCCTTCCCCTAGAAAGCTGGTTTTATTTTAACCCTATTTCATTTTTCTTCAACATGGAGACCCTTTATCATCTCTGCTGTTAGTGAGAGAAAAAGCTGTGGTCAGTTCGCACCACCAGCAGGCCTGGAAGACGGTCACAAAGAAAGGGACGTATGTTTCCAGTGCCTCCAAAGCAGGCCAGAAGCTCCTGAGTTCTGAGGTGGGAGGGGGAGGCAGAATTCTGTGGCTTGTGGGGTTTTGTTAGGCAAAGGAATGGCTCTTCATGAAATGGGTCTTGTGGGTGTGGGGAGACAGTCAACTCCATAGGATGTCAGAGCTGGTGCCTTTATTGAGCACAATAGAGAGGACCGTTGCCTTTCTCCCAGTCAGGGCTACAGAGAGCCTCATGGGCCTCCCTAGACCACCATCCAGAAACCTGGTGCCCCATGCTGACCTTGGCTTCCTTTCCAGTGTTTTGGCCCTGTCTCCAAAATCTTCAGCAGAGGGTCTGGTTTACAAGAGGTTAGGTAACTGTAAGTCACCCTCTTAGCCCAAGGGGCCTTGTGCGGAAGTCCTTAGGATGCCCCTCCACACAGCCATGCTATGTAGATACATACTGCTGAGCTAGCAAACCACGAGAAGGCCTTGGTCTCCCTGCTCTAGCAGGGCTGTGGGTCCCTGGGTCTGAGCCAGGCCTTCCAGGGGCCTTCTGGGTGGTAGTGGCGTCTGGAAGGCTTTTGTGGCTTCTTGCAGCTCCTGCTCCCTGTAGGGAAAGCGCCAGCAAAGCAAACAGCCCTCTGCTCAGGCCGTGCATCTGCTTCCAAGTTCTCATTTCAGATTTCCTTGGTCTGGCATTTGCTTAAGAAAATGGAACGGGTTTTTGCTAGAGAAGTCCCTTGTGCAAGACAAGGAACTAAAATGGGCAAGAAGGACTTGGAGCATGTGTGATAGGCTCCCCAGTGCTTGCAGACATTTGCTGTCTGACTAGGAATCCCATCCAGACTTGGAGACACACATCACTGCCAGTTTTCCTGGAGCTACGTTGACTCTGGTTTCCTAGGCAGGGTCAGTGCTGGGATAGCCCCACTGTCTGTTGCTTGAGTGGAGTAGAACTACCTGGATCTGTTCTCTATCTGTGGACCCCCTGGCCCTTTGTCAGTACCCAGAACCCTGGCAGCTGCGAGAATGTGTGTCTGTGAATGTGTGACCCCAAGTGTATGTGAAAGACGTCTTGAGTGACCATGGCTATCTGGTTACAGCTGGACACAATGTCCTCATGGGTGTGCACATGCGAGCCACACACAGACACACACACACAGACACACACACACAGAGATGTAGAGAGAGGGGGGGGGAGAGAGACAGAGAGAGAGGAGAGAGAGAGAGGGAGGAGAGGAAGGAGAGGAAGGAGAGATACCTGAGTTGCATGGACAGACACACACACACACACACACACACACACACACACACACACACACACAGAGTGAGAGAGAGAGAGGAGAGGAGATAGAGAGAGAGGAGAGAGGGAGAGGAGAGGAGATAGAGAGAGAGGAGAGAGGGAGAGGGAGGAGAGGAGAGAGATACCCGAGTTGCATGGGCTCTACCCTGTACTGGGGTTTGAAAACTACCCTAGGCTTCTAAAACGCAGCCAAACCTGTGTCTTGTTCCCTTCATCTGCAGGTAGGAACTAGGTCAGGATTAGACTTTAGAGCAAAGCCGTTTAGAACCCCAGTTTTAGCCCTAGACTTTCAGATTTATAGGGATAACAGATGAGGCCCAGGAAGGGGCCTGCTTTTCTTCTTTCCAGGGCAGTCACTGCATGCTGCTGGAAGGAGATGCCTCAGGCATTAGGACTGCGGGTTTTAGACTGATCTTGGTATAATATGTCTTTCACACTTAGTGTGTGATCATCTCTAAGGTGAGAGTCCCAGCTAGATTTATTTTAAACTTATAAAATAAGTATTTCAGCTATGGAAATCATAATTTTTATCTTTCTGGGCCAGACGTGCCTATGATATGGTGAGCACACTTAAAAATGCTATTTTATCTGTGAAGCGCAGTGACTCAGGGACAGGGGGCTGTATTTGGTCCTTGTTGTCATGAGTCACTAGTAGCTCCCATCTTGTGCCAAATATAGGGGAAATTTCAGATACCTGGTTTAAAAACCATTGCTGAAAGCATTCCCCCCCCACCCCAAAATGGAGTTATCTCTCAGGCAAGCAGGCAGGAATTTTAATAAATAATAACATGAGTCTCCAGAGTAAAGTAGAAAAAAATTGCAGAGCTTTAACCTTGGTGTCCACATAGAGCTATCAGAGCAGGAAGGGAACGCAACCCACATGCCGGAGTCCCACAGTCGGCAAATGTGCTGTCAGTAATCCTAAAGTGGAGGCTCGTGGTTAGTAGCAGCATGGAGTTTAACTGAACGTGTGTGTGTGTGTGTGTGTGTGTGTGTGTGTGTGTGTGTGTGTGTGTGTGATAAAGGAGCTAGCTGAACCGCCATTGCTTGGCTGAGACCCAGGTCCAAGCTCCTGGTTCTTCTGCAACCTGAGACTCAGAAACTTCACAGAGGGCCAGGGCACACTGTGTCTCAGCCTGGGACATTCTCTTGCTGACACATGGCCTGGCAGAGTGGCCACCTCTTCTTCTGTCATATTTTTGGAGAGACAGCTGCTCTCCTTACCTTTCTTTTTCTGGCCTGCTCCGCTCCTTCCTGTCTCCTACCTCGACCGTTTCAAAGCCCGCGCCTCTTGTAGTTGCGCAGAGGACGGTGGGCACTGCTGCTGAGTGAGTTTTGCGCCCGTACTCATCAGGTCTTGAGGACTTGTGGGTCAGTGCGGTGGGGAGGCGCGTTTGTGACAGTTGTGAGAGACTTGTGGGTCAGCGAGGTGGGGAGGCGCGTTTGTGACAGTTGTGAGAAGCAGCTTTGGAATTTTATGAATGAAACAGGCAGACTCGCTCAAGTTGCCATGTGAGGGACGTGAGTCATGCAGGAAGGAGGACACGTGACTGGCACTAACACACTCATCATTTTCTTTCTCCCAGCTCCTCCCCGTGTTTGCTACAGCCCCAGCAGCCCTGTGCAGATTCTAGAGGAGTCTGCCTACTTCTACCCAGACTTGCAGCTCTATTCTGGGAGGCATGAGGCATCTGCTTTGACAGTGGAGGCAAGTGGAGGCCTGAGGGGGAAAGGCGGTAAGTCTCTTCACGGTCGGTGTGTTGAGAGCGCGGAGGATCAGACTTTCTCATTTTCAGCTCTTCTGCAATTGGTAACCCCTGTGGCTTCACTTTCCATCACTTTGCTTACCCAAGGTCAATGGCAGTCTGAAAATAATAACTGAAAAAAATGCTAGAAGTAAATAGTTCGTAAGTCTTAAATACTCTACTGGCAGAACATTGTCATAATATCTATTTACTGTTGGCTATTAATGATAATCTCTTGTTATTCGTAATCTGTTAAATTTTTTCATGTACACGCACACACACACACACACACACACACACGGGATGTGACATTTCCTGGATTTGACACTGTCCTTAGTTTCAGGATTGTCCTGAGGGTCTTAGAATGTACCCTTGAGGGTGAAAGAGAGGCTACTGTCTTTCAACTGTCTTTCTGACATTTCTTTATTCTCTAGCTTTAAGTTGCCATCCTGAGCTAAGAGTTATCTCAGGCTAGGAGATTTATTTAATTCCTGTTGTGCCATGATGTTAATAAGGCCCTTTGGGTTGGGATAAATAGCTCAGTCGATAAGTGCTTGTCATGCAAGCACTGGACCTGAGTTGGACCCCAGAATGTAAAGACATTGGTCGTGGTAGGACATGCTTGTCAGCCCTAGTATGGTAGAGAGAGACCGATCCCTGGAACTCACTGGTCTACTTCTGATCCCCGGGTCCCAGTGAGAGACCATCCCAGACGACCCGTGAACTTCTCCCCTACCCTGAGGCTCAGAGAATATTGTGGAAGAGACGGCAGGAATCGCTTAAGAGCTGGCAAACAGGAGGAGTGCTGTTAAATGCTGCTTCGTGATGAGGCTGTGGCAGAGCTTGAACTCACAGCAGCTGTGGGACCTGGGAAAAGCCGGCCCAACTAGATCAGGCAGTGTCCCAGCTGGCAGCACTGAGTTCGGTGGGTTACGAAAAGTTAGAAGAAAGAAAGAAAAGGAGAGAATGGTGGGGACGGTGTGGAGGGACGGTGCCTGGGCCGGGTAGTGGGTAGGATGGAGATTCGTCATTGGAATTGTCAAAGAACAAATAAGGGAAATTCAGTTAAGAAAAATAAGGAACAACACGTGACAGTGTGGCCCCACACAGGTGCACCCAGACACATATTCATGTTCGCCCCACGCACACCATAGAGACTGTTTTCTATGTGACGCCTTCCAGGGGAATCCTCGAGTCTTTGTCCGTAGGACTTCAGAATTACGTCACCCAGATCCAGTTATCGTCTGCTTGGAGTCTACGTACTTTCTCCTGCCTGTCCTCCAATCCTTTGCCTCTTTTCCTTCTCTGCTTTCATTTTTTTTGTTTTTGTTTTTGCTAGTAAGTCAGTACCTCACAATATATTCAAAACGGTAGTAAGTAAGGGACCTCCTCCTTTCAAACAACTTTTTAGCAGTGATGTCTCAGGGTGGTGGAGAGAGAGGTGAAGCCATTTCAGGAAGGCTCCCAGGGCTCCTGACGAATGTGCTCCGCCTTCCAAAGTAAGAAGTTAGTGGTTCTCCTGCCTGTTGACACCCATTCCTTTTATTACCCATCCACATAAATCATTTTCCTACTGCAATTCTATTTTTATTTGTTTTATCTAGACTTTTAAATTCTTATTTAAAGGCACTCGTTCCCTTAAGTCTCTGTGGCTTTGGGCATAGACGCTTTGTTCCCTGTAGGCCCCTAACTCCAACACTTAGCCGTGTCCTGGACAGGAGGAGGGTCACAGCACATGCCTCCTAGGTGAAGGAGGTGACAAGTGAAACCACAATATCTGTCTTCCCTTGAGATGGTCTTCGTTTGTTACAACTATGAGTTTGGTTTCTTTGCGGGTCTCTCTGTGTAGCCCTGGTTGGCTTGGAACTGACTGTATAGACCGTAGTGGTCTCTGGTACAGGGAGGGAAACAGTGGAGATTTTGCGGATCAGAGGCAGAGGGGTCAGAAGCAAGAGGCTGAATTCAGGTGCTGTTTGGAATCTCCTGCAACTGGTTAGCAGAGCCTGCACTTGCCGAGGGGAGCGTGTGGATCAGAGTTGGACAGAGAGCAGGTTGGGACAGAAACTAGGGCTTGCTTCTGCTTTCTCACCGTCTCTCCGTGTGAAGTTTCTAAATTAACCAAGAAATGAACAAGACACGGGATGCGGGAGATGGGGGAGGGAAGGAAGATGTGCTGGAAGTAAATTGCTATTAAGTGCCATCAGCTGCCATTGCAGAGGCGGGGTGTGACTCAGGGCTTGAAGACAAGAGTGTACATTTTGTTCAGTGGAGGCAAAAGGGGGGATTCGGAAAGAGCTTGGGGGAGACACAGACTAGAGGAGGCAGGTAGTGTAAATGGAGCCAGGAAGGGGGCAGTGGCCTGGATGCTAAGTCCCAGAAGAACATTTTAAACAGGTAAACAACCAGGCTAAGTGTTCTAGAAAGCTTACGTGTGTAACACAAGAGTCCCAAAACTCGGGGGCGGATTTGGTTACTAATCAGAGCAGAGTGTGTGCGGTGTTTGGAGCAGGGGGACAGCCAGTGTGGTTGCCTTCTTAGGACAGCCCTGAGTAAGGGAAAGCAGTGACGGAGGACCGTCACCGGAGACCCGGCAGAGGGCTGTGGTGGCTTCTTTGGGATTGCTTGTCATTTTTATTATGGGAAGACTTAAGGCGGTTTCTGCCACAGCGGGGCTGTTAAGAGAGATGTGGAAAGGGGGATCCTGTCCCAAAGGAGGCAGAAAAGGGGTGGGGGTGGAGGGGGAGCAGAGTCTCAGGGAATCTAAGAAATACTCCTTTGAGGCGTCGCAGGGTGGTGTCTTTAAACGACACTGACTAGAGTGTCAGTTGGCATCTCCTGGGGACAGCCTGTCAGCTCGGCTCCTGTTTGTCTTTCAGTGGAGGACCCTCTCTCCAACTTCCACTCCCCGAACTTCCTGAGGACCCCGGAGGTGGAGATGAGAGGTTCTGAGGATGTGACTGCTGGGACAGTGTTGCAGCGGCTGATCCAGGAACAACTGCGCTATGGCACCCCGACCGAGAACATGAACCTGCTGGCCATTCAGCACCAGGCCACAGGGAGTGCAGGGCCAGCCCACGCCACCAACAACTTTTCTTCCACGGAGACCCTCACTCAAGAAGACCCACAAATGGTCTTCCAGTCAGCCCGCCAGGAGCCGCAGGGTCAAGAGCACCAGGGGGACAACACGGTGATGGAGAAGCAGGTCCGCGCCGCTCAGCCTCAACAGAACAACGAGGAGCTGCCCACGTATGAGGAGGCCAAGGCCCAGTCTCAGTTCTTCAGGGGACAGCAGCAGCAGCAGCAGCAGCAGCAGGGACAGGGGCCCCTCGGCCACACTTACTACATGGCCGGAGGGACCGGTCAGAAGTCCCGCACGGAGGGGAGGCCCACGGTGAACCGTGCCAACAGCGGACAGGCACACAAGGACGAGGCCTTGAAAGAGCTAAAGCAAGGCCACGTCCGCTCCCTCAGTGAGAGGATCATGCAGCTGTCGCTGGAGAGGAACGGGGATAAGCAGCACCACCCCAGCTCGGGAAACGGGAAGGGCGTCAAAGCCGGGGGAGGGCCTCCCCCTGCCCAGCCTGCCTGTAAAGCCCTGGACCCTCGTGGCCCTCCCCCCGAATACCCCTTCAAGACCAAGCCAATGATGTCCCCGGTCAGCAAGAACCAAGATCACGGACTTTACTACAGTGACCAGCACCCTGGAGTACTCCACGAGATGGTCAAGCCCTACCCGGCACCTCAGCCTGTGAGAACAGAGGTGGCCGTCCTGAGGTATCAGCCGCCCCCAGAGTACGGGGTCACCAGGTAACTGTCCGCTCAGCTTTGTAAATCTCAGCCATGTGCTTGTGGTGTAGTCCCTGTGAGGCATCTTAGCTTTTTACCAAAGCTTTTGTCTGTCTTGTCCAGTTGGGGGCTCAGATACACGGAAGGCAGAGGCTATGAGCTTCTTCCATTCTTAGCAGAGGGGCAGCTGAGGATGAGAGAGAGCGTTGACTCTGTGTGTGTGCGTGTGTGTGCTCGTGCGTGCGTGTGAGTGTGTGTGCATGCGTGTGTGTGAGTGTGCGTGTGACTGTGTGCATGTTTGAGAGTGTGCGTGTGCATGTGTGCATGCGTGTGTGTGTATGTGTGTGTGTGTGTGTGTGTTTACATGAGTAGAGGTGCATGTGGAGACCACGGGAAAAAGCTGGCTGTCTTGAGTGTTGTCCTGGTTCCATCCATTTTTGTTGTTGTATTTTAGACAGTGTCTATCCAGAACTCACCAGTTAGGCTGCGCTGGCTGGCTAAGGCCTCCGGGGATCTGCCCGCCTCTGCCTCCCCAGCAGAAGTACATGCCGTCGCACGCAGCTTTCTTGATGTGGGTTCTGGGTATTCAGCTGGTGTCCCTGTGCTTGTAAGGCAAGTCCTTCACAGACTGGGCCATCTCTCCAGCCACAAAGTGGTTTTATAGTTTGTCTTCTGTTGTATTAATAGGCCCATTCCCTCTTCCCTCCCATTCCCTCTCCTACCTCCCTCTTTCCCTTCCTTTGTTTATTGAGTCAAGGTCTTACCAGGCAGCTTATGCTAGTCTTCAGCTCATGAGCCTCTTGTCTCTGCCTCTCAAAGCTGGGATTATAGGCATGTGGCACTATATCTAAGATGCCAGCCAGGTGGTGGTGGTACATGCCTTTAATCCCAGCAGGCGGATCTCTGTGAGTTCAAAGCCAGCCTGATCTACAGAGCGAGTTCCAGGTCAGGCTCCAAAGCTACATAGAGAAACCCTGTCTTCAAAACAAAACAAAACAAAACAAAACAAATTTAAAAGATGCCTTTTCTGGCCTTCCTGGCCACTCACATACCCACCCACCCCTACACACACACACACACACACACACACACACACACATGCCCCATCCCACACACACACACTTTTTTTAAAATTAAAAGATAAAAAGGAGAAATGCTCTGGATGCTAGGGAGGGGACGTTAGCAAGACCATGGAAGTCCTTTCTTATTCAGTAGATGTGAAGCTGAAGCGTGGCGCTCTGAAGGTGTCCAGAGTGTGCAGCTGAGGTAGCGTGGCCCTAACCTCCACCATCCAGCCTCTTGCCTTCAGATTGATGGTCAGGTTCAGCATTTCTTCCTCGTGTGGCCCTCTGTGCCGCCTTGGTCCACAGATACAAGCATGGTCCCTTCCCCAGAGGTCCTTGAAGCATTGTCTTTGGGGAAAGCAGTATCAGAACCCGTCCCTGCCCTTCCGTGTGATGCTCAGCGCAGGAATACGCAGGAAGCACGAGGCGATCGGATAGGATAGACGGGCTCGAGGTCAGACGGTTAAGGAAGCTTCCCGCAGGCGACATTGGCTGGCGACTCACAGGGTCGATACAAGTTGCAGGCAGTGGTAGAAAGGCCATCTCCAGAGGCAGGACAGCCCCGGGGAGGGGGTGGAGCCTGGCGGATAGGTGTAGGAAGATGTGACGGAGGGTGTTTGGACAGGGAAGTTGTGGACGATGCTGTAGATCTCTGGATGTTACTCCGAGGGAGTTTAGTGTTAGTCTGTAAGCAGAGACTGTGCGCTGGCGTTTACTGACTAGCTTCAGTGGTGGTGCAGGATGGTTAGAGAGGCCTTTCCGGGGAGGGTCAGAGTTCAGGGAACCGGGGAGGGACCGCAGGGGTGCAGGAGAGGAGACAGCAGGGTGCAGGAGAGGAGACAGCAGGATGCAGGTGCAGTGTCTGCCAAGAGATCTAAAAGGACTGTGCCTGGCAAGACCTCAGAGGAGCAGGGCATGTGTTTGAGGCCGTTGGACATGAGGCTCTGGAGAGACTGTGGGAGCGGCCAGCACTGGAGGGAGCTGGCCTGGTCGGGGGGAAAAGCACAGCCCCTGAGAAGACAGGTGCCACCTGCTATAATTGGATGCGTCGTCATCACAGAGGGTTTGTCTCTGGCTAAACTGAATAAGCTGGAGCTCTTAAGAGCTGGGTACAGGTCCACCTGGTTGTTTGTCTTCTGGGAGAGAGCTGGGTGCTGGCCACACACTCCCACACACTCCCCGGCTCTGACACACTGGACTCTAGGTGGATTTGATCGTCATCTTTCTGTTGCTGTAACCAAATACCTGGCAAACAGCAACGCGTAGGAGGAACGATTTATTTTGGCCCGAGGTTTGAGAGCATGGTATCTGTCATGGCCGGGAAAGTGTAGTGGGGCGGGGCTTGGCTTGACCTGTAACCCCTTATGCCCCTGTGTACCCGGGTGCCAGAACTCAGATCGCCCGGTTTTTTAAAATTTTTTTATTTTTTTGGTTTTTACGAGACAGGGTTTCTCTGTATTGTTTCGGAGGCTATCGGTCCAGCCCGGCCTCGAACTCACAGAGATCCGCCTGCCTCTGCCTCCCGAGTGCTGGGATTAAAGGCATGCGCCACCACCGCCCAGCCAGACCCCCCCGTTTTAATTCAGTCTGGAATGGGATACCACTTACTTTCACTGTGTCTTCCCACTTCAGTTAGGCGTGTCTGGAAACACCCACACGGACATGCCCAGGGGTGTGTCTCCTAGGTGAGTCTAAATCCAGTCTAGATGAAGATGAGCCCTCACGCTGTCAAGTGGCACTTGTGGAGCAGCCTGCGGTCCTCCTGAGCCACAGAGCACACTGCAGTCATCCTAGCTTGGGCCTAGCCCGACTCTGTGATGGAGCCTTCGAGTTCTCGCCTCTTTACACCAAAGGGTAACTTTCCCTCAAAAGCCGACACTTTCTGGTGTTTGTATCACATTGTCATGTCATAGATCCCCTCACACCTTTCCCTCAGCCTCTGGAAGGTCTTGACAACGATGGAGAATCTTTCCCAATGAAGTTTCCTTCTTCCTTGCTGGCCCAGTTTTTATGCTTTTGTTTTACTTACCTGTACGGTGTTTTGTCTGAGCTCTGCTTGAGTGTCTGATGCTCCTGGAGGCCAGAAGAGGGTGTCTGATTCTCCGGAACTGGAGTTACAGACAAGTTGTGAGCCACCATTTGAGGGATTAGAGTTCCCTGCTAAGTTTGGCCCTGGAACTCCTATGCCACATCAAAATTGTGAGAGGACTGGCCATTGAGATGGGCCCCAAGGCTGTAAGTCCACAGTGAGCCAGCCTGACTCCAGCAGAGCAGCCTTTGGCCAGCTAGGCAAACAAACTTGTCTCCACACAGCCTGCTCCAGACTTGTCTAGCAGAGCCTGAACTCTAGCGTCTGAACCTGGTGTGTGGCATTATGCATGGCCCAAGAGACAGCTCCTAGGTATCTCACTTGGCCATTCCCTTCTCTGGTGCTTAAGGGAGTTGTATGTTTGTCACCAATGGTGATGGCTTAGGAAGCGTCAGGCTATTGGGTACATATATACATGGCAGCACATGGACCAGAATGGAACCTGACAGGTTCCTGGGCCGTCTTCCCGTCTGATGCTGCAGGAAGCCCTGCTTGGGATTGAATGGGTACCCAGTAATTTGGCCCAACCCATTGCGTTTTAAGACTTGGCTCTTTCTTGCCTACAGACAGATCTAGAGAGTGCGTGCTAAAGCTTGGGAGAAGAGTGTGTCTCCCAGTCACTCGTAGATCTTTCGCCTGCTCGGGCGCACTAAGGCGGAGCTCCTGGTGATTGATGTCGTACCCTTAAAGTCCCGTGTACACTGCTGAGAGCAGCCACTGGCCCAAGCATAGCAGACCTGGACCTGCGGCATCACGGCCCCTTCTGTGACTGAGCTCAAGTGGCTGTGAGGAGGGAACTAGTGCTGGACCAGGGGCCTGCTCTGTTCTTCCTCCAGGGGCTGCTCCAAGGACTCGGCCCTGTTCTTCCTCGCGAGCCAGTTCGCTTTCCTCCACCTGGGAAGGAAAGTGGGTCACCACCAGGACAAGCTGAGACTAGGGCCGTTCCTGTGGGGATGGTGACGGCCTCCACCCACAAAGCAAACATTGGCTGTTAGTTCTGACTCGCTCGTGGTGACTTGGCTTACATAGTTGTGTGCTGTTAATGGGAATGGAGGCACGAATGAATTCCAGGCATGGCTGGATTTTTCTACCAGAGCGGTTTGAAGTATATATCAGTCAGGATGCATCTAAAAAAAACTGTGTATGCAAAAAAAAAAAAAAGAAAGAAAGAAAGAAAGAAAAGAGCAAAAAACTAGAACTGCTAAAAATTACGTATTAATCTTGAATTTCCCAACAGAACATGAACATTGTAAAAGTGGGATGTATAAGCCAGATGTAATCAGTTTTGAATGTTTTTTTTGTTCCTGTGGTTTATATACTTTAGTCAGGATCGTGCATGAAATAAGACAAAGCCTGTTTCCTCTAATCCCTGCTTCAGTTTTCTACTACAAACGTGTGGCACTCTGTCACAGCCAAGGAGCGCTCAGTGGACCACGGCGCACTATGACAGGAAGGGCGAGTTTTCCCAAGGGCTTACTGTGCGCACCTAGTGTGGCTTTTATGTTCCTTACCGTTTACAGCAGTTTTAGGAAATGGGAACCAGTGGGTGAGAGGTGGCTCAGTGTGCAAGAGCCCTGGCTGCTCCTACCGGGGACTCCGGTTCAGTTCCCAGCACCCTCGCGGTGGCTCACAACTGTCTGTCACTCCAGGCCCAGGGGATCTGACACCTTTTGTGGCCTCATGGGCACTGTGTGCACGTGGTCCACAGACTCACGTGCAGGCGAAACACGTGAACAACTAAATCTTACGAAAAGAAGGGGCCAATTAAGAAACCCATCCTTAGATAAGTAGAACCTGACTTAGAGGTTCGGGTATCAGGTCATGGCCAGCAGCTCCGTGGTGCAGGAGCCGTATCAAGCCCAGGGTCC